CTAGTTTCTTTTCATGTACTCATTACAGAATCAGTAAATTCAGAGAAAATGAGCAAAAAGTGCTCAGAATCTTTCTCATTCACAGAAAACAGAAAGCCTCTGTCAAAACTAAGGTGTCTGTCTTCACAAATCAACCTGACCAAAAATTGGTTTTTTTTTTTGGGACAGGGTCTCACTCTGTCTCCCAGGCTGGAGTGCAGTGGAGTCATCACAGCTCACTGCAGCCTCCAACTCCCGGGCTCAAGCGATCCTCCTGCCTTGGCCTCCCAGAGTGCTGGGATTATAGGTGTGAGCCACCACGCCCGGCCTTAAACTTCTAATTCTTAATACAAAGTCGCGTCCTGCCCTACCTGACTTTTAAAAGATGGTTTCACTTGGATTTCTACCGATGAATCAAAAAGTGTAGGATTTGTATCAAAAGCTTCTAAGAGGCCTAAAAATTTCAGCTTTACTGAAATGGAATCAACTGAAACAAAAAATGTGATCGAACAAATTGAAAAGCCAAAAGTCTAAGTAAAGTACGCCCTTCTCTGTGGCCAGCGCCCGGCGAGCACCTGCTCTAGGTGAGGGCAGGGCCTGGCTGGGCTCCCTTGCCCCATCATGGTTCTCAGTGTTGGGTGGGCAGCACTGTTTGCAGAGGAAGCATTTGCATGTGGAAAACACGGGCACTGGAGGGGCCTGCAGTGGCCAGGGGTGATTGCGAAGACTTGTGCTTTGGACCTAAATGTTTCAAAGCAGGTGATGTGGCTAAACCACTTACTGAAGGTGTAGTCTGGCCTGTGTTCATTTTTTTCTTTTCCTAATTTAGGAATAAATTGCTACTTCAGCTTTGAGCAGAGATGAAAGAAGCGTACCTGGACAGGTGTTCTTGGCCCAGTGTTTACACTCAGGGTTTCCCAGAGTCTCTGGAAGACCCCAGTGTTTGCCACTGCGAAAGAGCTCCCACCACCCTTGGCCTGCGGGCTGCGTGGTGTTGGTCCCACCTCGTGGAGCTGTTGTGAAGGGCAGGCCCTTCGCGTGCTGGGTGTGGTCAGAGGCCAGGGCTCACCGGCTGCTGCTGGAAGCTGGTTCTCAGTCCTGCTGTGGCCCCAGATGCAGCTGACCCGGCAGCACCATGCTTAGGCCCGGGGCACCACCCGTGGGTGCACGCAGAAGGCCTCAGCCGGGTGTCTGAATTGCGTGTAGATTGAAGTGAAGCTTCGGATGCTCAACCCTTGGTGGGGATGCGGATGTGCCGTCGTTTGGGCTGTGCACTAACCATGGTGTCTGGACCTCCTAGGGCATCTACTATGACAGGATGCTCCAGGCCAGCTCGGGAGCCGGCTGGTCACACTGGAAGAGGGACATGGGCCCATGCGAACAGTTGTTCTGGAGATTGAGAAAGAGAGGACCCCCTCACTCCCTGTGGAGAGAACAAATCTGCTTTCAGGGACTGTGACTGCTTTTATAATTTGAGTGGCTTAAGAAATCAAGTTTTCAAGTGAAAAAGACAATTCTAAGGTCATAGTCTGTTCTTAATGAGAGGGGGACAGTACGTTTAACTTTTTAGTATTTAGTATTTTTAAACCCCAAAGATTGCCTTTTATTTCTGAGTGATGGGCTGTGGAGCAGAGAAGTGGGCATTCTGGAACTCTCTCTGGGGTCACTGCCAGGGGCTGTGCTCTGGCGTGTGGTGCGGGCTGACTGTGGGCACACGCACACGTACAGCCCCCCCGGGTGGTGCAGGGCGCTGTTTCTCTGGGGCCCTCGCCACGGCCCCGGACGGTGGTCGCTCAGCCTGTCCCGCACGGTTCCAGTGTTTCAGCGTGGGGCCCCTTCATGTCTGTCTTCCTTCCCTTACATACTTGTACTCAAAAAAAGCTTTCTGACGGAGAAAATAGCACATTTAAAATTGGGGAAGTTTCCTGGTAGGGAGGGGAGGAGAGGAGAGGAAAAAAAAGAAAAAAAATTGGGGAAGTTATGTGAAGGAAAGTCTAAAGAAGTAAGAAAAATTTCCTTTCCTGTCCTTTTTTTTCCTTCAGAAAAATCAACCTTTAGTGTGTGCAGTTGCATTTATGTTTCTGGCCCCCTTTGGACCCGGGTTCCCACAGCATCCGGTCTGCTCATCGGCCGCCGCGGTGCGCTCGGCTTGGGGAGCGACCTCTGGCGCAAGGCTGCAGGGTGGCGTGTGGTGGGTGGTGTGTGGCTTATGCAGTGCAGCTGCCCGAGGAGCAGGGGTGTCACCTGGTAGCCGTCAGGCGGAGTCCCCAGGGCAGCGCTCTCAGCAGTGGGGGCCTCTGTCCGGCCACCAGGGAGGCTCTAAGATGGAGGGGGGTGCTTAGTAGCCGTCCCAGTGGACAGAATGATTTTATGCTTGTTGACTGTAACAATAAAAAGTTCTGGCGTGTGTTTTACATCTTTTTCTCCATGCTTCTGGCAGTTAATTTTACTGTTTTATAAAAGTTTTGATCTGCCATGGATTGGCAGAACGGGAGGCTGCGTCCTCCTGGGTGGAAGTCTTGCCCCGGACTCCTCGACGGCCGTGGTCTGTGGGCTTGCTCCTGTGGACAGGCTGGAGGGCGGCTTGGGAGCCCGGCGGCCGCAGGG